TAAATACTGAATTTCTTGCTACGTGTGAACATGAATAACCACAGACAGTGACAGACTGTAGCCTGCAGCTGAAAAGTTGCATAGTGCAGCTTCAGTAATGGAGGTGTAAGTAGTGGCACCACCAGCATTGTAAGTTGTAAAATGTAATAGACTTTTCAAACAGATTTTAATAGCATTTCTAATATATTCACAACAAACATTTCTATGAAGCATAATTTATGCCTACTTAAACTGAAAATATGAATTAAATATTGAGTATTGTTCTCCTTTAACAACTTACATATATCTCCATCTTTCTGTAAAGTCCATAATTCAGGATAAGGTTATGTGTCATGCGAATTCTGTGTGGTTTCATAGGATGACCTTGTCCATAGTAATAGTTTCCAACATCACCTGAAAGATTGAAATGGTGTTCTCAGGTGATTAAATGACTTAAAAACTCATTTGACTATTTCAATATACTTTTGTTTTCGTTCACAGTTTCACAAGTCATTCTGCACTTGTCACTGCATCATACTGGTTTGAATGGTGATTATAGTACAACAGTACACTAGTTAAAGTAAGAGTTACCACAATTACATTGCATTCAGGTGAAAATCGTAAGATGAAATTAAATCATTTCAGGTAAAAATTCACAGTTCAACAAATTATATTATAATATAATTATTACAGACACTTTTTCCCATTAATTTCCCATCACTGTACTAACTAAAGATAAGAAAAGGTCTGGTCAATAAAGAATAAATTATAAATTTATTAAATTACTAATACAATTACCATTACTAAATAAGCAGTATTATGACGAAACTACTGCTCGAGTAACAAAAATTTTGCCGAAGAATTAATGATTAGTGTCACGCACGTACAGTAGCTACTAAAATACAATAATATCATGAACAAAGACAAATTTCTTTACATATACATTTAGATACCCCACACAGAAAAATACTGTAATCAAACTTCAATCAACATTCGTAATTTAGATTTCAATATCGAGTGATTCTCTCCCCCTTACTTACATTTACAGGCACTTCAAACGTTTTAATAATAGCATGATGATAAATAAACATGAAATGTATTTACTACCAAACTCTCAAGGTTTCTCTACTCTCTTTCGCCTATTGTTACCAATAATATCCTGTAAATGCCGTTCAAATGCTTCCTTGCAACACACAAGTACACCGCACACGCCGCCGTGCACAAACAACAAAATTATAGAGGTGGAAAAGTGTGATCGCAAAATTCGCACGATGCTCCCTTCGTTTCACACTATCACAGCACAAACACTTCCTCCTATTTACATTTTGGCGAAGTGGGAGTCTTTACCACAGGAATTCATGAGATATCTCTGGGTAGAGTAGGCAGTACCAAAGGACAGTTATAATTCAAACAAGTAAACATTTAGCTACACATAAATAGCAAAATTGAGGCTGTTGGTGAGGTATTTGTGCTGCAATTGTGTGAAACGAAGGAAGCATCATGAGAATTTTGCAATCTCGCTTTTTCACCTGCTCTATAATTTTGTAACGTTTGTGCACAGGAGCGTGTGTGCGGTGTACTTGTGAGTTGCAGAGTAAGATTAAGCGAAAGAGAGTAGAGAAACATTAATAAGACTTTAGTAGTGAATAAATTTTGTGTCTATTTATATCATATTATTATTATCGCAGTGACTACACGTCCGGTCATCCATTACAAAGCTGATAGGCTTGTTAGGCTGATAGTCATGATTAGGCCACTCCCCCTTTCAAATCATTAATTTTACTAGATTTACATCAAAAGTTACAAAAACACGTTTTTCGATAAAATACCTAAAGGTAAGTAATATTATGGTAAAAACTTATTGTTTATTATTTTTTACTGAAAAAATATAGTTGGGTTCATATAAAAAATATATGACCGGACTCGTAGCCTGGGAGCTGGGCGTCCGGCAACCGAACGTGTAGCCACGGCCTTTTATTATTGAAATGTTCCAAGTGCCTGTGCCCTTACTCTCTCCCTTCGTGTTTAGACTTTGGTTAAAGCTGCACAATGCGCATCCAAACGCTAATTTCTCCAGTACTAGACTAGCAAATACTTCGTGTCATGCATAATCACACTACCTTACAGTGCTCGAAATGACAAAATAAACTCTAGTTGCTCCGATTTCACTGCGCGTTTTGCTTAAAACACCCAAAAAAGAGGTGAGAAAACTGGCATTCTGGCGGCAAACGCCGACTGTTTCCCAAATCAATTATAGCCTCAAAGTGGTGACGTGCGTCCACGTTTTTAACGTTTGGGCTACAACCCGTAACCGCTTACAGATAGCACACGAAATGTCGGCAACCCAACGAGTACCGTGCACCTGTTAGGTCGAGATGTGGGGAGCAAACCTCCGGTCTGACGAACGAGAAACCGCGCATGAAATGTTGAATCAACGATTGGAAGTAATTTCAAAAATACCTTTTTATAAGAATAAGAAAAAAAACGCGCAGTGAATAATGGAGGACCACTGAGAGTTTATTTTGGTCCATAATAAGGTAGTGTGATTAAGGCCATGACACGAAGTTTTGCTAGTACTAGTACTGTAAGATAATTAAGCGTTTGATGCGCATTGTGGAGCCTTTAATTTCAAAATTTGAGGCTTTTCTACTGTGATCCCGCAAGTGGTTTGAACCTGGATCCTATTTGATCAAAACTTGTCCGTCTTTCCCATCTCGATATAGATCCCATGAAGTTTTGAAGACTAATAAATATTAGAAGCAGGTGATATTTACACCGTATACGGGCAGAGTAATCCACTTCTGCTATTTTTACCGTACACCACATTTGATGGCCTAGTATAATTTATGTACGTCATTCAACATTCACGTTCGAATCCCCAATAAGGTAGCTGATCTAAGAACTTTTAGGTTAAAATCCCATTTATTTCTAGCACATTTTTGTAGCCCCATTTCATTTTGAATCATGGAAGCTATTTTCTGTGAATCAACGGTTTCCAATACGAAATCTTTGAGAAACACAAATTCAGTAATATACTAAACATACATATATACACATACATAAAATACTAAGCCAATCAGCAAATACTGTACGGTAAAAATAGACGGAAGTGGAGACTCTGCCGTATAAACGTATAATATCCACCTGCGTAAAATATGTATGATAGTTATGAGAGTGCATGTGGGATGCTTGCAATGTACAACTGGTTCAAATAAAGTGCCCTGTAGTTGCCCAGTATCTGGGGGGCAGAAAATGACAGGAATCCACTAATGTGATGGTTAGAGCAAACAGGTCATCCACCCGATGCGTAGACTTTAATAACATAAATTCTCAGCAGGAGCATCTACCAATATCGTCACCAATCGCCGGGTAACCTGACTGAGTAACTACTAGTTCTACGTGCTACAAAAATGGGCATAGAATGATTGAATCCTAGATAGATAATACCTCTAAGCAATGACTTTGAGACCGCACTACTTGCAACATCGATTGCAAACTAGGCCCAGCTTGCCGGGTAGACAAGACTACTCCGACGCCAGTGGCCGCAACAAATAAACATACTCACAGACGCGCACTCGTCACATTGATACATACTCGTAAAAAATGCCCGGATTGACAGCATCACGTAGACTCCTAACACTACGTCTCAGGATAGTTGTACAACTAAACTTCCTCGGCTAGTAATTATATTTAGAAAAAAATTGCCAAAAGAAATTAAACGACTGAATATACCTGTATGCCTTCGAGACTATGTCGACGGAAGTGACTTTGGAGTTAATTTTAAAAAACCACGCATGAACTTTATTTTTATTCATGTAAATTATTCATTCTGGAGTTACATTGATCTTGATTGTGTGATAGTTTGTCTGGTTCATTTCGTTTGTTCATGGAATAGAGGGCGGTCGCACCAAAAACAAGGTAAGGCCGAAAGAAGAGGTAAGAGAGAATTTATAATTCGTTCCTATGTGAAGATACCCCCAAGAACTGGAAAAACTTGAATTATCGTTGATGCTTTTCTGAAGCCGAGAAAATCTATAGAATAATATTACGCCCTAGTTGACAACATCTGATAAACACAGAAACAGATTTGGTACAAATACCATCGTAGTAGTAAACCAAACAGTGATTTTTAGCTGTGCGGGACCCGCGTATCTTGTTCCTGCAGGTAGCCAGTCACATCGTATTATCGGTGCGGCGTGGCGCGTATAGAGTTTATCTGGTGTTTTATGGAACGCAGACGGGAATGGCGAATGCGCTTTATATCGCACCGCGGCGCCGAAAACAGAGTGCAATCTATTACCGCCACGTAAATGTTAGCATAATATATCAAAGACCTAAGACGCGTTAAGTTACAATTTAAGATATAACTAAAATATAAGTTAAGTTTGAATAAATAGGTAAGCTTATTGTATAAGCTACCCACGCTGATTTTTCCATTATGCTATAGTTTTAAATGTACCAAGATATATGCAATTTTTGTCAAAGATCGTCGGACCGAACAATAACGGAGTTTAAAATAAACGAAAGGAGTCATCCCTAAAAGCCGATACGCATTTAATATATAGATAAAAAAAAAGTTCGCTATCAGAATAAGTACACTAAGGCTACGCAACCCCACCAACACTTGAAGAATAGGGAAGAAGACCGTACATGTAAGGTGGCCCACTGCCTACAGGTGCAAAGTTCGAGTAACACAGGCCCGTAAAGGCCAGGGGGGTTCGGGGGTATCGAACGAAGCACCCCCCGAGCCCCTTGATTAATAGGGAAACTACTGGTAGA